TTCCCCGATTCAGCTGCTGGTCAGTTTCAGCAGCAGCTGAATGGGGGAAGCCTGTCCGGCTGCCCCAGCACTTCCGGGCACCATGAGGAGTCCCGGAGCATTGGATGCCGTCTAATGGAGTTTTACTGTATTGTTCTTTTACACTTGCCCTCACTTTTTATAAAGATTAAGGATATTGTTGATCTCTCTGTATAACCAAAGCATATTATGGCTCTGAAATCTTTATCAAAATCTACATTTATATCAGGAGATTTACTAAAAATTTAGCATATATACCTCTTTCTCTTATGTCTGCAATGTAAGCTTTCATAAATTCTTTCTCAAATTGCTCCCGATCTCGATCACTTTCTAGGATGTCTTCAGTATCTTGATAGAAGATTGTTTCAAGAGGATTATCCTTAAGACTGATAAATCTGTAAAAAGAGAAATATTTGACATGAAAAGATAACTTCTTAACATGAGTTGACTGTAGAATGCTTTTTATCAAATATTGATTATGTTACAAACTTTTTCCCTCTTCTCCCACGTTACAGAGTTTGAATTTATTAGCTCTAGAAACTATATTTACTAACTTATCTTGTTCAGGTGGCCATGCATGTGACCAACAATTTTATTGTGACTATCTGAGTTTTAGTGGCCACTTGCAGGAAGAGGGGGAATTTTAAAGAATTTATGTTTAAGTAATTGAACAAAAGTGTTCTATGATCTTTCTATTATTGATCAAGTAAATATTTTAGGTAGCAATCTATTTACACCATGTTCTTCCTAGTACAATATATTATTTTTCTGTAGGAATAGAGTTTTAGCATTGTGGGACATCTGTAACATCACATTTCACAACATTTGGCCAGTTGTTCCATAATTCTACAGCATCTTCTAACCAGAACAAGAAACTTCAACATGGACCCCACTCTATCCATGTTTCATAGCATTCCAGGATTTAGTAAGACTTCCTTAGCTGATGATGCAAACCTTTAGGAGTTATAATTACTTCCCAACAGCCATTACAGCAGAGAAGTTCAGTCTGTGTGCCCTTTTTGTCATGTTTGTAAATATACATACTTTTAAAATGAAAATCACATGGTTGCACAAATTGCTCAGTAATTCCATGCACAAAGTAGGTGTGCATAATTCTGAAAATCTGGGCCATTTCTCTACACCAACACAAAGTAATTAATCAGTGAAATTTCACAAATTAACCATATGGCATAGTAACATTACTAGGAACTATTCTGTCATACTCAAATGACTTCAGGTCCTAAATCCCAAGTGTCACATCATAACAGGATTATCATAGTTACATATGGTAATCAATGGACTTACACAAGTCCATTGATACGCAACTATAGGATACAATCTCTCAGTCAAGAATACACACATTAGTAAACTGACACAAACTCTTAATGCTGATGAGGCAATCTCAGTACAAGTACAAAAGCACTGCTCAGTATCAGGTGAAATATCAGGAAGCCTGAGGTATGCTTGTACAATTTCCCACTGGACTTCAGCAACTTCATTGCCCTTAATTAACAGTTCTCATGTAAATGAGGTCAGAATTTTGCTCCAGGCTATGTGGAAGTTGCACGAGATACACTCAGCCCAGCAAGCAGGAATTCAAAAATGCAATGAAAGGAAAAGGGAAATGTGAAACTGTTTTTGGAGCACTTACTGCACTGAGCCACTTACCTTTCTGCTTCTGGCATATTCATTTCTCCCTAACTATTACTTACTTTAAACCTGTGGTTGATTCACAAACATCTGTGGGTATCTCAACCAGATCATCCCCACTGACCACCAGCAAACTGAGCTTTGGCATATTGACCAAAGCTCGTGGAAGATAAGTCAGCTTGTTTTTCTGCAGGAGAAGTGTCTGCAGTTCCTCTAGTCTACGGAAGCATAACAAAGAAACATGGCGTAAAAATACATTTTGAAGATCTTTTATTATATGTGTGAACCTATTCAAACACCAAATATTAATTTATATTACTAGGAAAGAAGGAGAAAATGAACCATATCCTTTTCCTTGTGCTGTTTTGTATTTTCACAGAACTCTCCATTGACTTCAATGGGATGTTTCATGCATGGTTTGACATGATAGATGCTAATAATATACCTGTGAGAAGACTTAAAAGTTGTGCCCAATCAGAAGCTAATGGAGCAGTAGGCACTTTAGTGGTTCTATGAACATGTGTGCACATGATTCCATGCCATACAACATGATACAAAGCTCTCGTGTATCTCATTCTGTCAAAGAGTCATCAAAATATAGGTGGGATTAAAATATATATGGGGACTCTTACAAGTAATATTAAAATCAATTTAAAGGACCAAATCTTGTGGTTTATGCAGTAGGCTCCTTTCATTTCTTTTATGTCCCTTTATCCTTTCTTCACACAATAATAATTTGGAGCTTACCAGGAGCTTGCATTCAGGATGTGACCAAGAGTCTTCAGAAAGTGATTAAACCTTCGGATCGCTAGTTTGGATCGCTACCCCTTCCTGCTTCTCCATGTAGGAACTAATGATACAGCCAAGAATGACCTTGAGCGGGTCACAGCAGATTACGTAGTGCTGGGAAGAAGGATCAAGGAATTTGAAGTGCAAGTGGTGTTCTCATCCATCCTTCTGGTTGAAGTAAAAGATCTGGGTAGGAATCATCGAATTGAGGAAGTAAATGTGTGGTTGCGCAGGTGATATCAGAGAGAGGGCTAATATAATTTATGCTATCATGTGCCGAAAGTGTCCGTCTGCTATGTACATTGGACAAAGGTCTCAGACACTTCGCCAAAGGATTAATGCCCACAAAACAGATATCAGACAAGATCACAAAGAAAAAACAGTTTCTTGCCATTTTAACCAGAAAGGACACTCTCTCAATGAAGAGGTGTTTGCGAAAAAACATGCAGTATAGACGGGGCCTTTTTCTGGAAAAAAAAAAAAATCAACTGGTTATCTAAGGTATTTGTAAACCAATGGAAGAAGCCTGGGAAACAAACAGGAAGAATTACAAGTGCTGACCCAGTAGAAGAACTATGATTTGATTGGAATAACGGAGACTTGGTAGGATGACTTGCATGACTGGAGCACTGTCATGGAAGGGTATAAACTGTTCAGGAAGAACAAACGGGGGAGAAAAGGAGGAGGAGGAGTTGCATTGTATGTAAGAGAGCAGTATGATTGCTCAGAGCTCCAGTACTTAGAGGGAGAAAAGATTAAGAGTCTATGGGTTAAATTTAGAGGTGGAAGCAACAGGAGTGATATTGTGGTTGGTGTCTGCTATAGACCACCGGATCAGGTGGATAAGGTAGACAAAGCTTTCTTTGGACAACTGAGAGATGCTTCCAGATCACAGGCCCTGGTTCTCATGGGTGAGTTTAATCACCCTGACATCTGTTGGGAGACCAATAAAGCAGTACAGAGACAATCCAGGAAGTTTTTGGAGAATGTTGGGGATAACTTCTTGGTACAAGTGCTGAAGGAACTGACTAGGGGGCATGCACAGCTTGACCTGCTGCTCACAAACAGGGAGGAACTAGTAGTGGAAATAGAGGTGGGTGGCAACCTGGGAAGCAGTGATCATGAGATGGTAGATTTCAGGATCCTGACTAAAGGAAGAAAGGAGAGTAGCAAAATACACACCCTGGACTTCAGAAGAGCAGACTTTGACTCCCTCAGAGAACTGAAGGGCAGGATTCCCTGGGATGCTTACATGAAGGGGAAAGGAGTCCAGGATTCCTGGCAGTATTTTAAAGAAGCCTTATTAAAGGGACAGGAAGAAACCATCACTATGCACAGCAAGAAAAGCAAATATGGTAAGTGATCGGATTAGCTTACTGGGGACATCCTTGGTGAGCTTAAACACAAAAAGGAAGCTTACAAGAAGTGGAAACTTGGACAGATGACTAGGGAGGAGTATAAATATATTGCTCGAGAATGCATGGGAGTTATCAGGAAGGTGAAAGCGCAATTGAAATTGCAGGTAGCAAGGGATGTGAAGGGCAACAAGAAAAGTTTCTACAGGCATGTTAGCTATAAGAGGGTGATCAGAGAGGGTGTGGGACCCTTACTGGATGAGGGAGGTAACCTAGTGACAGATGATGTGGGAAAAGCTGATGTACTCAGTGCCTCTGTCTTCACGGACAAGGTCAGCTCCCAGACAAATGCACTAGGCAACACAGTATGGGAAGGAGGTGGACAGCCCTTGGTGGGGAAAGAACCAGTTAGGAACTATGTAGAAAAGCTAAACATACACAAATCCATGGGCCCAGATTCAATGCATCCGAGGGTACTGAGGGAGTTGGCAAATGTCATTGCGGAGCCTTTGGCCATTATCTTTGAAAA